GCTTGGGAGCGTGCACAGAGGTGAATCTGACCCGGAGACCTCACATTAAAAGCAGAATGGTGGCTGATGCAAGCAACGGAGAAAACAGGTGTGTGTTTCATTTCTAAGTGAGTTTTGAGCCCATTGACAATAAGGCAATGACAATTTGATTTATTAAAATCAAAAACTTACATATAGCCCCTTTTAACCTCAACATTTCTGTAAAATTCATGCAAAACGCCTATTCAAGGCATATCCAAAGTAAATTGAATGCAGTTGAATATATGCATGGTTTTGGGCTTCTCTGAAAGATAACACTGGAGTGTCTAACCCAAAAGTCAGAATTATTGTAAGTGTAAACACACTAAAACTAATATATTTTTCTATATTTGCTAACAAATGCATGCAATTATAGCTGGGACTTATTAGCTGGAAAACACTGTAGGACCACAAGATAAAGCATTACCTAGTCCTAGTTTATATTTGCATACCAATACCATGAAAAATGACTATTTTACACAGGTTTTTCTGAGTGTATGTCTTAGCGTATTTTTTCTAAAACAGCAGTCCTTGCCATTGGCTGCTGCTGCATCGCTCTGTATTAGCCGGTAGCTTGACATAGATGTGTTTTTTTGCTGGTAGATCATGAACTTGGATATCGTTATTTTCAGAATATTATTGGCTACACGAAGTGCCAGTCATCGGCACAATTGCTTGCAATTGGCTCAGCCTACCCACGAAATAATAGGGGCTGTGTTGTGGTTTCGGACAGAACGGACCCAAACGCAATGCTTGGTTTATTGAGGGAAAAAGGGAAGATGAGGGGCTGGAGGTAAAAAGGGGGAAGTTGGATGCCGGCAGACGCGGGCACGAAGGACCGAGGAGCCAGCGGGGCGGGAAAGGTTCGGTGAGGCGACCGAGAGGGTTGGAAGGAACGAACTGGAATGCTTGGAAGACTGCGGGGGCGTTGGTGAGGCCAAAGGGCATGACTAAATACTCATAGTGACCGGGGGGGGGGGGCCGAAAGCAGTTTTCCATTCGTCCCCCTCCCAGATGCGCACCAGGTGATAAGCGTTTCTTAAATGTAATTTGGTAAAAATAGTGGACCGGGAGAGGGACTCGAAGACGGAGTCCATGAGCGGGAGGGGTACTTATTTTTTATGGTGATGGCGTTGAGCCCCCGGTAATGGATGCAGGGGCGAAGGGTTTGGTCTTTTTTGGCAAAGAAAAAGAAGCCGGCCCCTAACGGTGAGGAAGAGGGGCGGATTATGCCGGCAGCCAGTGAGTCTTTGATGTACTGCTCCATAGACTCTCTCTCCGGACGCGACAGGTTGTAGAGGTGATTTGAAAGGAGGGGCGCGTCCGGGAAGAGGTGTATTGAGCAGTTGAGGGCGGTGGGGGGGTAGAGACAGGGTCTGGTCCTTGCTAAAAACTTGAGCGAGGTCGTGGTAGACGTGGGACACCGGATAGGTCGGGAGGGACGGAAGGCGGGCCAGGCCAGGTAGGATTACCAGGGGTTCGAGCAGACAGGAGGCAGGACGCATGACAGAGGGAGCTCCAGTTCCTGATCTTCCCCCGCGACCAGTCAATGTTAGGATTATGGGTGGTTAGCCAGGGGAGACCGAGGACCAGAGGAGCGGCAGGGGAGGAGATCAGGTGGAAAGCGAGGGACTCGTGGTGGTTCCCAGACGTGACAAGGGGTAATGGCAGGGTGCGATGGGTGACGGTGGTGAGGGGTTGGCCGTTGAGGCCCGTTGCATGAAGGGGGGCGTCAAGAGGGACCTGGGGGACCTTGAGCTGACGAGCGATTTCGAGATCTAAAAAATTTTCGTCAGCGCCCGAGTCGATGAGGGCCCCGAGTGGGAGGGTCACACTCCCCCAGGATAGGGAGGCATCGAGCAGAGTTCGAGGATGGGGCGAGGGAACTCTGCTTGCCAGTAGCCCCAACCCTACTGGCGAGCTGGCACTTTTGGGCTTTTTTTTGAGCTGACAGGACATGGCCGGCTTTCCACAATAAAAGCACTCACCGGCGAGGCGGCGCCCCTAGCGCTCCTCCGGGGAGAGGTGGGTGCGGCTTAACTGTATGGGCTCATGAGGTGGTCAGGTAGAGAGCAGAGGTGACGCTGGGAGCACAGGTGGGACCGGTGGAGCAGCGGAGCGTGGCACGGGGGACGGCAAGACAGCGGCCTGAGACGGTGAGAGGCATGAGCGGGAGGTGGAAGTGCCGCGAGCGGCACGATCCCTCTCCCTCTCTCTCAAGCGATTGTGCAGGTCGGTAGCGGCCTCGACCAGAGCGTCTAGGCCCCCCGGCGCGTCCCTAACGGCCAGCAGGTCTTTAATGCGAGGCCATCCAGGAACACACACTGAAGGGCCTTATTGTTCCAGCCCGAATTGGCCGCCAGAATATGGAAGACAACAGAGTACTCCGATCGTCCTGGCGGAGGGAGAGAAGGCGACCCGGCGCCTCCCTTCCCCACACCGGGCGATCGAAGTCTCTCCGCATCTCCTCCACAAAGGAGGAGTAGGAGGAGAGGACATGGGGCTGACCCTCGCTGGCCGCTGCGTACCAGGCCAGGGCCGGTCGCGGAGCAGCCCAGCGATATAACAGATCTTGGCCTCATCGGACTGGAAAGTTACTGCTTGCCTCTTAAACACCAGGGCGCACTGTACCAGGAAACTGTCATACGTGCCCAAAACGCCGGAGAACTTATCTGGGTGAGAGACCGGGGACTCACGGGAAAAGGAAGCGCCGGCGGTGGGGCACGGGGCAAAGTCCGCGGAGAGGGAGCAAGGCGTGGATTGAGAGGGGGACAGCGGTTGCATGGAACAGGGGTCAGGAGGCGACAGCGTGGATGACTTCCAGTGGAGTGGGGTCGGTGGAGGGGGGGCAGAGAAGGAGAGCGTGCTGGGTCCATTATGGCTTGATCGTTCTGTTGTGGTTTCGGGCAGAACGGACCCAAACGCAACGCTTTTGGGACAGTTTTTAAAGGAGGTTTATTGAGGAAAAAAGGGAAGATGAGGGGCTGGAGGTAAAAAGGGGGAAGTTGGACGCCAACAGACGTGGGCGTGGAGGACCGAGGAGCCGGTGGGGCTGGAAAGGTTCCGGCGATGCGACCGAGAGGGAGCAGGAAGCCAAGGCGAGAGGGGCAAGGAGCGTGGAGGGAAGCCGGGGGAGCGCTGCAGAGGCGAGGCGAGGGGAGAAGGCAGGTAGGCGAGCCCAGCTGACTGATCGGATGACGGAGGTGAGTGGACCTGGCGGGGAGAACAGAAAGAACAGTCAGGGTTAGATTTTAGACCAATTTCAAAAACTGCCTTTTATTGCAAAGATTTTAGAAAGAATTGTGTCCAAACAATTGCTCACTGTACTGGAAAATAAATTATTGGAAAGAAGAACCAAGGAAGAACCAAAGCACTGAGACTGCCCTGCTTAAAGTCACCAATGACCTTTTAATGTCTGCTGATGATGGCATGTGCTCAGTCCTGGTACTCCTGGACCTTAGTGCTGCTTTTGACACCATTGATCACAACATCATGTTAGACAGACTGAGGCACTGGGTGGGGATCTCTGGTACTGCCCTAGAATACAAAACAAATACTGCCATCTGCAAAAATTCGATCTATGTTAACTCTTAAGGACACCGAGACTATTTTACATGCCTTCATCTCATCACGCCTGGATTATTGCAACAGCCTTTTCACTTGTTTAACCCAAAAATCTACTGATCGACTCCAGATGAAAGAAATATGACCACCCCTATTTTAGCTTCATTACACTGTCTCCCAGTATGTTGTAGCATGGCTAAATTAGCTATGAATTTTAATAAATTTATGAGAATTAATACCCAATTATGAATTTTAATATTCAAAAAATATTTTAAAAAATCTCTCGTTTCGGGGCACCACCGGAGTAGCCTCCGGACCTCTAGGTAGCTTAATTAATTATACAATTATTACTAGTGATCAGTTAGTTAATAATCGCTAAATTATCTTAAATGTCACTTCCTGTGTTTCTTCCTGTGAAAAAAGAGAATATCCTTTGATTTGAGGTAATCAAACAAAGAGGAAGGTCAGTTGCCATGGTTACGTGTGTGGGGGGCAGTTTAGGTCAGGCACCGAGCGTTATCTCGCTGCGCCATCAGAGGTGGCCAGTTTTACGATCAGACTGCCCAGAAACAGCACTTAGGGAAAGCGAACCTTTCACCTTTTCCTTTGGGGTCTCTTCAGCCGTCCGTTGAGTTGATATCTCACCCCCTCCTTTTCTTTTTCCCAGGGAGAGAGAAAGAATTTGGAGTAGTCCAAATTTATTTGATATAAAATGCACAAATCCACACTGTTGGTACACTACAAATGGTTTACAGTAAATAGCATTAGCACTCACAGCGGTCATTTTTCTGCATTGAATACTTTTTCTTTTAATACTTTGAGTGCATTTTCCTGATTATACTTATATACTTTACTACTTTATGTAACATCTCCAATGCAGGATCTGAATGCTTCCTCCACCGCTGCTGATGAATGTGCCTTTGTGACCAATAAACCATATTGACATTTAAGATTCAACCTTAGAAATAAAACAGATAAAATACATTTCATACAGGTGAAACAGAAACAGAAGAGTCTGTCTTCATCTGTTATACACAGAAAGTTTCCTTCAGCTTTTCTGCCAAGGAAGGATGTTATTTCAGACCAATTTCTCAAAGTCCCGCGGTCTTGCAGTTTGTTCTGTGGTACGTCATGTTAGACTCTTTCAGCGTGTGTGGCTTTTCATATTAAGAAAGAGCACATTCACACACTGCCCTGAAGGTGTGCTGTCAAGAGTAAAAACTTTGTCTGTTTACGAGAACATGTTTTATAGAACTGGAAGCGGGACAATAAAAACCCTTGCAGGGCTGGACTGGAATTAAACAGTGCCACATACCACTGTGATAAACACACTTACTGTACCTAAATCATAGTTTACTTAGAATGGTCTGCTTTTTCTCTTACTGTCATTTTTTACTGTTTTCTTTCTTCTCTCTCAGCTGTGTAGACAGTGAGTGGGATGTTTTTCTTCCAGCCCTGAGGTTACCTTGGCAACCCAGGAGAAAGAAACGTGATCGAAGGCTGTGCAAACGGAGGTGTAGGCCGAGTCATGTCTTTTACAAGCTGCAGGGTCCATCTCTGAGCCAGCCGGCCCAGTCAGCCATCCAGCCAGCCATATGTCAGGAGACATGGGCACCAGCCAATAGTCCTTTCCAGTCAGGGCTTTCAAACCGAGACCTGCCACTGCTCAGGTCCTCCTCAGACAGACTGTCAGCGGGTGCAGCTACAGAGAAAGTTAATGTGAAGCATCAAATCTCAGGAGGACCCTGCTGGCTTCATACACTATGACAAATCCTACGCCCCCATGGCTCTCTGGTTTAACAACTCTGATGTTATTTAACTTTAATTCAAAGCCATAAGTAGAGAATAATTTCTTATTAAAGACAGGGTCATTCATGTGTCTTTAGTATCATATTATATATCTGAAAGATATAAGATGACCACCATTCCAACACCTGTTTTTGGAAAAAGACTATAAAGCAGCTGTTATTATTTTTCATACTGACTGTTTGAGCTCCTCATCACGACATTCAGTGACAGCTGAAATTCTCGTTTCCTTAAAATGGGCTTCACAAACACTTACAGGACTGACTAAGCAGGAATTCAGACTGAAAGTTAAAACAGTGCCGGGGAGCTGTGTTGGTGTGGAGCATGTTGTTTAAGGTATGAATAAGACGATAGAATTTGATCCAGTTAGAATAACAGATTATGTGGCGTAACTGTAAGACTACATCCTACATTTTCAATTTCCGTCCACACCAGCGTTTTAGCTACGTATGAGAATTGATCTCCATCTGTGCTAAAACGACTGAATAGGCACATGAGATGAACATTCATACAAATCACGTGACCACTAACGTACACTGGGAATACATGTGTTGGTATAAACAGGAAGCAGATTTTTTTCCCGCAGAGCATTTGACGATAGAAAAGCTGGTAGCAGAGACATCATGTTAGGATTTGGTTTTTGTACTGTTGTTTTTCCGGTGTTTATTTGATATTGTCTTGGTTTGGAGTTTTGTAATCTAGTTTATTATTTTGGTTCTTTCGTTTTTAGTTTCTTAGTCACTGTCTTGTCTCTCATCTTAGTTCTTCTTCCTGCACCTTGGTTCTTGTTTTAGTATTTACTTCAGGTTCCTTGTCTACATTATTTTGGGTCTAGTCTCCTTTGTACTTTAGCTCTGTGTTCTCCTTTTGAGTTCTTGTTCATTGTACATGTGTGTTTCTGTCTTATTGGTTATTCTCTCTGCCCCATGTCTGCTTGTCTAGTATTCAGTAACCTTGTCTTGTCTGTTACCCCAGTGATCCCTCTGCATGTCTGTCTTTGTTTTCCCCTTCTCTCTCTCTGCCTGTGTGTCACTCTCTCTCCTTTCTCTGCCTCTCTCTCTGCCTGCCTGCCTGTCCCTCGTTAACCCTGATCTCTGTCACCTGTGTTGCTCCCGCCCTGCTCGTTACTCCCTGTGTGTGTATATACCTGGTGTTTCTGTCTTGTCTTTCATTAATTTCTATGTGTGTTATGATCCCTCGTTGTAGGCCTACTTGTCGTGTTTCCCTGCGCCATTGGATTTCTGTTTGGACAGCTTTTGTGTTTCTGGACTTTGTCATCAGCCACTCAGTTTGTAAGTGTGCTCGCTTTTTGTTGCCTTGAATAAACCGTCTGAACTTTACCCGCTAGCCTACGTGTCCTGCATTTGGGTCCAACAACTTGCTCAACTCTGCCATAACCACCACTGAATGTAACACATCAGGGTTGGTAATGCTTGTAATTTGTTCAATTGATTCACAACAGGTGGTCCAGGCTGATGTATGTTTACGTCTGGAGAGGGGTCATGTCCTGACAAATCATGGATATGCCATGACTGATATTACCAAATTAGGAAGCCAAATGTAAGTGTCTGCGTCTTTATTTTCAAAGTGCTCCCTCTTCACCTGTCAATTCCAGAGTTTTAATTGCAAATGGGGTCAGCAGTGTTTTTAAACTTATCAATTTTAGGTGTTTGGATTCATCATTGCTCTGTGGATGGCAGGCATAAACATAGCAAAAGTGCTGTTTTAAAATTAAAAACTTAATAGTGTGAATGTAGCCTAAAATACACACTATAAACTGCCTTGCTAACCTAGCAACATTAAAGCTACAAACAACCCATAATACAACTTACTGGTACGCTCTCTGCATTAGCAAAATACAGTGATTGTGTTACTAACTCCCCTCTTTGAACAATTTCCAGATTTACTATAAACTATATCAAGCTTTGACAGGCAATACTTCGGATCAATTGTTAATTGTTTTGGTCTTTTCATGGGATTTGCCGTTAGAGCTGCAACAATTAATCGACAATGTTGATTATAAAAATTTGTTGACCTGAAATTTCATTGTCGATGCGTCATTAGAGGCAGTTTAAGGGAGAGATGGCAATCTTCTTATGATGAACATTCTGGTTCATTTCTAACAGCAGTACACTTCAGGAAGTGCTGGGGGCAGGATTGCTTCATATGACTACTTAACTGTAAGACTACAGAAGAAGCATTCATGCAGAAGTGGAAAGCAACAGAGAACAAGGCTAACAGCAGAATGGCTTTTTGTTTTTACAAAGTTTTGTACACTATTTCATCAGTAAATACATGTTTGAGAGAAATCAACTGTAGAATTTGAATATTTTCAGTTTTACGAACATTGATGGCAAATCAAATGTGTTTCGGGTTTGAGAAGCTCAACAAGCGGCAGCAATGTTAGCGGTGCCTGCCGGTCACGCCCACAGAGCCCTCTGGTCCCAGTTACACAGAGCAGTAATGACAGAGGAGAGGCCACAACTGTAAGAGTTTCCATGTTCTGTCTTTACAATCTGAGAAATGGTTTATTTTAAAGTAACTCAAACATCTGGCTCATGATGTAGCCTACAGAACATTCTCTGCTCATAACTTATAAGCACTTTGTAAAAAAAACAAAAAACAGAAGTATTAGGAAAGTGGACTGTTTTATTCTGAATAGACATTAAATTGTTGTTGTACAATTATACTATCAGATTGTGAGCGTATTGTTTTGGGTGATGAGGCCTGGCTGTTATCTTGGAACAGCCTCTCTGTAGTTCTCTGCATTCTTGGTTTTGAGGTCTCATGGATGATGCTGGCTGAGAGAATGCTCTTTTAGTTGTGTTAGCACACACGTTAAGTGCCATAGTAAATCAGTGACTCATAGGAGAGCCTACGCTGTCTTGTCCTCTTCCCTATTTTCTCCCTGGTGGTGATGCTAGTGTTCATTCTGAATAGTAAACCTTGTTCACATAATGGTAACGTTGGCTAGTTAGGCTGTGTGATGGACATCACTAATTCACTTGAAAGATATTTAATTAGTTTAATTAGGGTTAGGGGGTGACAAATAATCGTGACTAGTCAACTTATCAAATTAAAAGATTAGTTGACTATGAAAATAATTAGTTGCAGCTCTTTGCCATCAATGAGAAAATATAAAATTACCAGTCTTATCATGGAAGAACACTTTATTAACACCTAGCATGGTAGTGATCTGACTGCTACTTTTTTGGTCTTTTATTGTAGTGAGTTAAATTTGTTGACACCCTTTTTTTTTTTTTTTTTTTTTTCCAGTAAAACCTTTAATCACATCACTGAACTTTCTGGTTTATTTTTGTATGAATACCATCTGAATGAAATCTCTACCAGGTTTAAATTATAAATCCTTGGTTCTTCTCTCACAGAAATCAACTTTTCATCCAGCCTTTCTTTAGCGCTCCCTAGTGACGCATATATACCATGGCAAAGGCTGATTAGGGCGTGACCCCACCTGTTGCACTCATTAATGTTAATTGCATCTCTTTCTCCCTCAATCAAATAAGTCTGTGGCTTTCTTTCCTCCATGATCCTAATTATATTTCATCCCCCTCAGAGCTATTTAAGAAGGCATTTGAGAGTGAAATTTTTTTTTTCTACAATGTCACATCACCCCCATCCCACACTCTACTGCCTCACCACTCTTTCCACTATCCAAATGGGATGCCAGCACTCATGCATTTTTAACAAGAGCAGAGGAATATGCTTGTTCGAAGTTTTACTTCTGTGTGTACTGTGTATTTAGTCTGTCATGTGAGTACTACTCATACTTGTTTGTAAAAGAGAAATGCCAGTAAAAGGGGCCAAAGGGCAGCACCGACTCAGCTGAATGCGCTGTTTTGGACTCACTCAAGGTCCTTGTTGGATGGTAATGTTACCTTGCAGCTATCTAAATGAGCCACAATGTGTATGAATGTGGAATGAGCCACACATGACATTCACAACATCCTGTGTCAGATCATCCTGACCTTGTCACTGTGAATAAATTTGTCTGTACAAAAAAGGTGTTTACTGTGTGTCCTTGTAAGGTCATCTTGCCTTATGTCATCGTCTCCTGAATTGTCATTGAGCAAATCGCTGTATGCTGGAAATGGAGAGAAAAGGATGAGCTTTTAGTAAAGAAGACCCTTCTCGTTTCACAGAGAACAGATGGGCAGATGGCCTAAAAAAGATTCCGCCTTTATTCTGGTTTTAATATAATCTTCACCCAAAAAAGCTTACGGGAGATGAGCTACAGCAGCCGACAGTGGTTATGAGAAATTCCAAGGTGACGGGTTTTTTTTATGGCTGAATGTGGGAAATTTGAAGTCTGGACCATGACTACACTGAATACAAAAGACCTTTTTAGATGAAACATGAAAGGAAAAGATGCATCCACTACTGTCGTTTGTTACCTTTAAAACAAAGCACATTTCTAAAGAGCCTGCCGCGGTCACACGGTAAAGATAAAATATTGATGTTGAAATAGGGTGTGAATTAGTGTGGACTGCTAAACTGTGTGCTTGGATTAATAAATTGTGCAATTCTCCAGGATATGCATATCTGACATTCAGAATAATATTTGTAATTCTGAAGAAAATGTAAAACAATTAAGTAATATAAAGTGCCATCCCAGACCAATAACTGCTATCAGAAAATACTATATCTGCCATATGCTGCACTTGGTTCCTGTTTGGTTTTCAAAGCATGAGTTAAATGATCTGAGTATTGAGATCATGATTAAAAAATGTAAACAGACTTTCAGTGTGCCTGATTGGTAGGAGGCTGACAGGAGGAGACTTTGTATAATATCTAAATTTTTCTGACACCAGTTATTAATCTGTGCATTCATTTAATGGATATTAAGATTAAGTAAGAAATTACATTACCCTCTTACCCTCCCACCTGTCATCATGGCAAGTCAATGCAAGGATGCAGAGAGACGCGATATACCCTCGGGAGGTGTGGAGGATGCGTTGGCCGTGACGTGAAGGGATTCATGTGAGGGTTGGAGATTCATGTTTGATGGCTTCAGACAAAGTGCTTGTTGGATCGCCAACTAGTGTTTGAAACTCCCTTTCTGATGGCAAAATAAGTGTTGAGATCTGCGTCTAACACACAGCCACTTTACACAGTATGTTGGCTTTTCACTCGCCTTTGATTGAGGCCATTCGCAACAGGTATAAATACTTTTGCCGTTAAAGATGATTGGATAACATGCTGTACAACCTAGTTTGTTGAGGATTTTATCTTCTCCATGAACCCATCATGACGGTTTCAAATAATGAAAATAATCATTTTCAGAGATAACTGACTAACTTTTTCAATCTGTGTGAAATATTTATTTTCTATTATATGACCATTACGATCAATAGCTTAAGTAAACTTTAATACCTCCATATTGAAGAGTATTAGGTTATAAGCATGCAAATGAACGGTATATCTGTTCAATGTCTACAAATGATTTCTCTAATGGAGAAGAGTAAACTTCAACTGCTATTAAAGCTGGTGGTCCACTGGGTTCATTGGGACCACATCCATTAGATCAAAGCCATTTATCCTGGCAGACAATTCATTAGATAGCAGAAAGCAATCAGACTGTGTATCTGTAATTAACAGTCATCTCTCTGATTGCCTCCACACCATTAAATAGCACACCAATATGTGGGCCCTTTATCCCTATTATGCACTGCTTAATTAAAAATGCAAATTAAGCTCCTTCTAATTACACATTAACTGACATGGAACTGGACAAAGCAATGTGTGTGTGCGGGCGTGCAGGGGTATGCATGTTTGGGTATGTGTGGGGGTGTGCATGTGGGCTGTGTTATAGGAAGGTGAGTAATCGAACTAATGGTTTGAGTCGTGAGTTGTGCGGTTTTATGAAAATTAAATTGCAATGAAGGACAATTAATGAAACTTTGTTAATGCCAGTCAAACTTTAAAGGGTGAAATTAATCCCTACGCTGAGTCTGTCAGTGGCTGGCATTGACATATCAAGTGCTTACAATTCTGTGGAAGCAGTCCATCCACTGTAATATGTCTCAAGGGTTACTGCCCAAACGGACCTAATAAGTCAGTCAAAATGCCCTGAAGTGCACTGTTCAGCAGGGAGCTGTATATTGGAAGTGATTTTTAAAAATGCCACAACGCTTGTGTGTTGCAGGGATTGTCTTATAAATGTATGTTAAAAGGATCAGTGTTGGGCTCTTTTATACTTTTATTGTATGAAAGTGTCCCCACTAGCGTTTCCAAGTCATTTTAGTAGATACCTCTGCCCATAGTGAAACACCTGATCAACATAAAAACATCTAAATCTCCTTCTATTTGTTTTCAGTTGCCAAACAACACAGCGCATGGCCGCCAACATCTGGTAAGGAGTGCGGCAGGCAACTGTGCAGCTGTGAATTCGGCTACATTGACATAAATAATTAAACTTTACTGCCACACAGCCCCAGACTTGATTGTTCCCTCAATTTTTCCTGTACATACTGAAAAACCAAGCTAACAGACTTATTAATGTTAGACACTGGTATGCCTAAATTCAGAAATTACATTTTGTTGAAAGTTGGAGGGTGTGAACCCTGCCACATCGTCACTATGGATGGGACTCACCGGGACTAACATTAAGCTAGCTGTTTATGGTTAGCAAACCAGCTAGCTCCTTGTTAAACCATAAGATTTAATTTTCTATTTTTTGAGATGTCCAAGTGTGGAAGTTTTAAATAAAGCCACATTTGACATAGCTGACTAACAAAAGTAAAGTGATTACTTTCGCTATTCAATAGTGGAGTAATGTAATAAGAAATCAACTACATTTTTCACATAATGTGCCCCACACTGTAGAAGATTGATACTGATGTGGTTTTTTTAAGTTTTGCCATACACATTAAATAGCCTATAGCAAAAAGGATAAACAGGGTCCCTTCAGGGTGTAAAAGATGTGATGTGAAATGGCATTTGACATATGGCAAAACAGAAGAGATCCACATATGTACATTACATATGTAGTAATACACTGACGCATGTAATTTAAAACGTGCAGTCTCTTCACTGCTTGGTAGGATTCAAGAGGAAGTCAAAGCTTTTGGATTCTTATCAAAAGTAGTGAGAGACGGCAGCGCTGTCGAATTGACCTTATCATTGTTTACTCTGGCTTAATATTATTTGTATAAAGCATTAAGGAGAAGGTTGTCTGAGGAAAAATAGTATTGCACATCATGATTATCTGCGGAGAGGCAAATTAGGACGACATGGGAGATCCTCTTGAGGTTAAAATTGATTTTCAGATGGACAGGTGGAAACTTCAACTCA